TGATTTTGACTTCGCCTTCCAAACCCATCACATTTCGAGGTAGCCACTGTTATGCCCGGACGCGACGGGATTTTTGAAAATCCCATCACAAAACCTAGCCTTGGGGAGAGTTTGATCACGATCTACCCCCTCGACTTCTATATCAGAGTGTGATCAAACTTGCCCCAGACCTATGATTTGTGACGGGATTTTTGAAAATCCCATCACGATTCGAGACCCCATGTCATGTTTAGAAGTGTGACGGGTTTTGGTCGGTTCATCCCAACTTCCGACAAGGGTCCCTTGGAAGAACATATCTTCCAGCTTTGTCATGTACTCTGCAGACACCAGGGCCTCGATCTTGGGCCGCAACCACACCCAAAGGCAAATCCCATCGATCATGTTCTCGTGGGTGTCCAGGCTGAGCTGCTGCTGTTTCTGACAGGGTGCTAACACTGATATGGGACGGGATTCAGTGTCAGGCACATTCGACCAACTATTTGCCATCCATCCCTACACTACACAACCCACCCCCATCAGCGCCTTCATTTTGCTGGTGAAATCTCCAGTCACAGCGGAGTTGAACATAGTATGCACCCTGTTGAAGTATAGGGTGCAAACATCAGGTGTGATGTCAAGGATTTCCTTCCAAACAGCCTTACCCCGGTACCGGGACAACTCGCAGCGATCGTTCTGAGGAACAAAATGGCCATTGGCCACCACCTCGTAGGGAAAACCTGCGCACGGGCAGGAAATTTACGAGCAAAACACAACTGGCCCAGCCCAGTAGTAGAACTGAAACAACACGTCGACCAGCTTTCTGGCACACCAACATCATTCACGCCCCTTTAGGGCCGGTGAAACCTCACTTGCAAGTGGTGGGGTGGTCCTCTTGCACCCCTGGGAGGCAGATTCGCACATACCAACCCTGGAGCATACACACCTCCAGACCTCAGGAATGGCAAATCATTTGCCGGATATCGGGTTCTGGGGCCTTGCCCTGCCAGGGACTTCAAGTAAATCACCGCACGATCGAAGTTTGGGTAGGTAGCAAAGGTTTCAGCCAACTCGAGGAGATCCTTTTGTCGATCGGGCTCCAATGTCGGACTGAGACCAGTGTCCCCAACACTGGTGGACCAAAATTCCTTTACTTTCGTTGCTTCATCCCCTGGAAGGACCAGAAGCGCTGGTTGGCAAGGATCAGTGTCGCACATATGGTGCTTCACAATGCAAAAGATATCGTTCGGCCCCGTCGAATAGCGCCGTGGGAGTCGTTCTGAAAGCGGCATGGTGCCAGGCAAGCCTGAGATTGACAAATTCACAGTTGCAAAAGCCAGGAGCCCCAGATTTAAAGTGTCAAGTGATTGCTTTTAACTGTCAAGTGTCTCTCCCTTTTGCGAAAAGTGAAGCTGTGAGGGATTCTGTCCTCCTCACCCTTGCGCGGACGATAGGCGTTATCCAGGGACATGATCTTTGGGACCAATTGCTTCCACTGTCGCACCTCAACATTGAATGGCTGTTGGGGAACCCAGAAAGCGTGTAGGAACTTATATTCAAGTGAGCCCAGGCGCACGGTCCATCATTATGACCTCAAAGAACTCCCCCCTTTCATGGAATATAGGGGCAATTCGAGCTTCAAGAAGCCTTACCAGGAAAGGATGCGATTCAGTCTATGAAAACTTAATGAAACATGGGATGCTTATTTGCCACGCCTTCGAAAATCAGCTGGGGTTTGCAATTCCGACCCAGCAGACATCAAGTGGGCAGTGAGCATTCCGAATAAACCATCTTAGCTCTGTCCAAACACAGTTGTCATCTCACAAGACACCAGGTCAAATCATCCGTCATAAATCATCAATCCTGTAGGGTTCATTGCATTCAAGGCACCAATGTCCTCATGAGTGTGTCCCACTGGGAGACAACAGTGTGTTGTCTCCCAGAAGAAATTCGAGGAGCAAAGGTATGATAATAGAGTTCCAGTGAGTCCGTTCTTCAACTCTTTGACCGTATTATCATGTTGGACCCAAAGCCTCAGAGAATTTTCTTTCAATGCGATGAGTTTGTGGAATTTTTGATGTCCACACGAAAAGTCAAAATAAAGTGAGAAACGATGAAGGGAATGCGATCCCACGTTTTCTGGCAGCTTGCCAACACAGAGACATAGTGACGAACAGCGCTTCCCACGAATAACTTCCTCCAGTCGATACCCCTTCTTCTGCCAGGAACACAACACAGCCCCAGCCGTGTGCCAGTGTTGCAGAAACAGCTAAATGTGTCCTGGAAATCCGCTCGAAGGTAGGAATTTTGGGCAAACGAGAGTGGCTCCAACGTGGAAGCATTGGTTTGCTTTTGTCAAACCCATCGAAGATAATGCACAATAGGTCTTGTCGGGATCGAGAGGCTGCACGAGCCTGCCAGTATGCCTGGCGGCATCGCCAAGTCATAGTCAAATGCCCCAACAAATCATCGGCAGCTTGGGCATGAGATCGAAAGTCTCTACAGGCCCTCATTCTTGCCTTGATCTTGTCACAAAGGCCACAAACTGAGTGCTGGGACCGATGACGAAACTTCAAGGTTTTTCTCCACGGTCGAGTCACTGCATAGAAGGTTGACCGACTCACACTCTCTGTTCCATTTGCAGTGCAACTAGCTACATATAGGATGTAGAGTTGTTGCCAATTCCCTGGAGGAAGTTCACGTGCGCCGAGGAGCTTTGGGTTGAATTTTGCGATTCTTGATGTCGGACCCTCCAAAGCGTCTTGCATCAGATCTGCCAACAGCTTTGCTCGAGTGGCTTCATTGTCTAAATCCATCGACTTGTTCAAAAGCCTTGGTTTTCTCATGGTGGCATGTAAGTTCAACATACATTGGCTGGGCACCAGCTAGCTGGCGCTCAGCTTGTCTTTTTCTGCCAGCTAGCTGGCAAGAAAAAGTATGTCTGCCAGTGTGCGACTGGCTGACACACGCTTGCAGGAAGGAGCAGCTGCAGGGCAAAATTTAGCAGAGTCACCCAGTCGGCATGGATTCTGAAAAGGAATAGTACATTTTCATCATGAAGTTCTGGACCGAAGCATTTTGCAAAGCTGGACGATGGCTTTGGCGACCTTGCAGGAACTAAGATTCTTCATCGTTCAACATTGGGCTTTGACTGAAGATTCTTTATTTATCACTTCCCTCCCCGGCCTGTTACTGTGCGTTCATCGAGTCCTTTGAATCGGTCACGGGTTCGGTTGATCCGATTGCAGCCCACACCAAGCATGCGTAGGAATGCCCGCCGACACACACGAGTACCACCCACATACCAATTGACATGATGCTGTAAGCGGTTGCTACTGCTGCTGCTGTTGTCACTTGACCTGTCATCATCATCTTCGTCACTATTGTTGTCTCCCTGAACGCTATTGGTTTGCAGAGACCACAGAAGAGCATCTTGGCCGGGCTTGGACAAGCCCCAGAACAGCAAACAGACCTGTAGGAGCACCTTGAACGCGACATTCTTCCAACACCTTCAGCAAAAGTTACACTTGGCCCAATGCTCATCAATGGTTGACATTCACATTGCACATGTTGCATGAAAAACTAAGCTTCAGGCTCACGCCTGCACTTGCATCCACTCGCAGCTTGTGACTTGAGGACAGACCTGATCCTCTTTTGATCTTTACCGTTGGCTGCGTACTTCCCCTCTTGTTTTAAGTCACTATCATGTGAAGAAGCTTTCAGGGCAGCTAAATTGGCCAAAGTGAGGTCTGCGCTAATCTGTGGTTTCCTGAATGGCAAAAGCAAGACTAAAGTGAATCAAGCGCAAGATCAGTGCAAAATGAAATTGCATACAAGCAGAGGCTCTTTGTTGGAAGAGCACCATCATCCGAAGAATCATCGGAAGATTCATCAGAAGGGCTCCATCGACGTAGGACACTTGGTTTCGGGGCTGGGCTTCTGCTCCGCGATGGTGTCCCGGCCCGCCATTTGCCCATGATGAAGTAAGTTGCTACTCAAAGGTCTGAAATTGACAACTTGTATATGTTATCAGTTCGCATTTGATAATAATTCATGATGTTGTATTCACACTTACTTGTCTTTTGTTTGTTGAACCCACTGAGTTAGCGATGTGCATCCATCAAGCTCACAGCATAGTGACTTAAAGGCAAACCTTTTGCACATTGCGCATTTGCACACAATAGAGACATGGAAGGGTGGAAGCGCGCACCTGAAGAGCTGTGCCGGTGTAGGTCGTAGTGAGCTGCCAAGATGGCAACTGACTCTTTCGGGACTTTCAACAAATTCGTGATGATCTTACGTTTCAACGTATCCACCTTGAACTTTCTAACCTTCACTGACTTGTTGAAATCTGCTATGCATGAGTTCAGTGCACTCTGAAATAAGACTTTGCGCCCATTGTGCTGAAAAAATGCAGCCACTGCTTGATCGAAGATCCCAACCATATCTAGTGCGGATGGCTGTTGCTTCTCTGCTGTTTCTTGCCCCAGTCCTTGGCCATTAAAGCCAATAACAACATAGCACAATGGATGATGATTGCTGGCAATTTCTGAGTGGAGCACGCAGTGCTTCGTAAAAAAATCCTCCTGGTTGGGCATGTGAGTGTACTTCGCCTTGAAGAAGCGAAGACTCAGCAGCAGCGGTTTCAGGTCATCGCTGTCGAGCTCTTCTTCCGGAATGCCCTTTGCAATCGAGGAGAGGACAGCAAACATGTTGAACTTAGATGTTGGCTCAATGACACCTATTTCCCTTCAATTGCGGCTTAGAAACCAATTTGTCAACAATTGCAGCTATTGATTGGCAGATCAGCCCTTTCGTGAACCCATCCACATACTTGACAGAGAAAGGTTGCACAGTCCTTTCCCCTGTGCTAACGAACCGAATGCACAGTGGTTCCCGGTACGGGTCGAAGTTGCGATAGACAATGTTCTTGAAGTGAGTTGCCACTGTCGCCATGTGGGGAAAGTCTTAGTTGCAGGTTCGCGGTGTTCAATCACAAGAACTTGCAATTGGTTGGAATGCGCATCAGAAGGTTTGAGACTAGCAGCAACCATGTTTGGCATTTTGCCCATAGTCCAGCTGATCGATCCCAATGAAGCATTCGTTCAAGGTATGCAATGGCTCAATTGCTACCAAACCAGGAATGGGTTCCTTGCAAGGTCTATCCATCACCACTCTGTCAAGGACTGCGCTCATCTTCGTGCGGTCGCCGTACTCATCATTGAGCCAGGTGCCCAGGTTGGTGTTGGCTGTGACCTTGGTGACGAATGCGAAAGCCTTGACTTGATATCGAATGATTTGTAGGACTAAGCAAAATCTAAGACTATGACTTGTTGAAAGCATTCCCAGATGAGATCCCTGCTGCTCTTGGCAGCTTTAGGGTCACCATCTTCAACTTTAGCCAGCAGCATCATGTTGAGCCAAATTTCACTAAGCCATATCAAGTGGATCCAAGTAAAATCAACATGTCTTTAAGAGCGCACATGCCCATCAATTGCCCACATGAATCAAATACATGGAGGCAACACGTGCTGCTTCCAACACCTTCCAAGCACCTTATAAGAATGAACATTATATGAACATAAATCTGTCGACGCAACAGATTGAAACTGTGCTTCATGACAGAGCCCACAGCTTCCCAGATGATGGCGGAAGATGATCTCGCGAACCTGCAAGAAGATCTGATGCTGGCCCAATGTTTGCCCGCAATGGAACATAGGGTGATGTTGGCCAAAGACGCAATTGCAGGGGCTTTGAAAAAAGCTGAGGAGTTGGAAGATTCAATAGACCGGACTTGCATCGAGAAGATGACCAAAGCCAAAACCATGTTGGAAGAAGCTCTGGATGCTATCCAAACACAAAAGGAACAATCAGCTGAAGCAATTTCTGATGCAATTGGGTTTTTGGAGTCTATCATTGAGCGTCCCACTGATCGTCGAGTACGCCAGCGCCAGTCCGATTCACGTCCTAGTGCACAAAGCCATTAGTTAGACTGAGTTGTTCATGCCAGGCCATTAGACACACACACCAAAGTGAGCTTGTTTGTGTCCTTGGCATGGCCATTTTTGGAACGTCAAGAGCCTGAGACAAAGGAACAGCGATGATGCGAAATAGTCATAACATAATAGTTATCTACCTGGGCTTGCTGCCAACAAGTTGGCAGCAAGCCACTTGCAGCCAAAAACTTGGCAGCAAGTCATGCAGCCAACACATTTGCAGCCAGCACACTGGCAGCAAGCCACTTGCCTGCCTTGAGCACGCACACCAAGGCGGCTGCAATGGCACGGATGTGCATGGCATTGCCTGCCATACCTCCAAGCACCTGGAGCGGTGAAAATGAAATGCTGCGCGAGAAGGGTTCTGGGAGGAGTTTGATGCTGCTAACAAACTCTGAAACTGAAAACACGCCAGATTGTCCCGGTCAGAGATCATGTCGACATCTAGCAGGTGGACCGGAAAGCCCATCAGCATGAATTTTTCCAAGCCTGATTTTCAGAACAGCCTTCAATGCAACAAGTCATTAACTGCAAACTGCTCCACACATCCTTGCCTAGCAAACTGCGTTTCTTTTCGCGGACCCAGTAGTGTCCACCAGGCCTGTTTAGATTGCCAGAAGGTACATACACACAATGATTTTGCCAGGCTGAGGTCCAGGCGTAATACACATGAATGGAGCCCCATTGCCAAGCACAACCGGCATGCGATTGAGGTTTTGAGAAAGGTCGCACACAGCCCAACTTGGCTTCACAGAAGACAGAATGGCGACTGCCTTGCAAAAGCGGAAGCGTGGGCTGGTCTAAATTTAGCATTCTTTGAAACCAACAAGAGGAGCCTGACAATTCCGAGGTGTTTTGAAATGCTGCTGCCAATGGTCAACATCCTTTTTCAAATTCTTCTTGATTACCTGCAAGCAGCATCAACAACGACAAGCACTCCCAAAACAACTGTGTGGCAGCACCTCGTTGTCCTTCATGTACTCCCAGTGAATGTGTCTCCACTTTGGTTCTGTTGTGGTTGGCCTTCCCAAATTTCTGATGAAAGCTTCGCAGGCAAACATATGGAAAGCACAAAAAACATCAAACCATAAGGCTCGTGCTTGTTCGTTACGCAATACTTTTTCTGATTCATCGGCTTCTGTTTCTTTTCCTGCCGAACACTGTGACAAAACATGATATCCTCTGTGAAACTGTAGTCTATGGGTCCTTTCTTTCCACCACCGCAGGATGATCATTTGGCAGCAAGAAGGTTTGCCTGGAGACATAAAGGGCCACCAAAAATGGCACACCAAATGTCTATTGGTAAACGCTTTCTATGAAATACAAACCCCTGGGCACCCCACCATGGCTCGCAATGGTCAAACTTGTTGCGCAAATCTGTCAAAGTTTTGGAAGCAATAGCTGCCAGCTCCCCTGTCAAATACTCTTTGCGCACAAGCAGGAAATAGTAGCGCTCCCTGGCCAAGTTCACACCGAATTGCTGCCTGGACAAGGGGGCCATGATGCTTACATGAGACAAACAAAAGGTCTTCAATATCACACTGTGATGATTCAGCTGAATTACGGGGACAGGATTGTGATGTGTATGTCATACTCTGGCAACTCTTTGGCCAAATGATCTTTGATCTCTGGCAGGACTGTCGCAAGCCCAAGTACATTCTCCAACACACATGCCTTAGATCAAAAGAAACTGGGAGGATAGGAATGCTAGCGAAAGCTATACACCAAATTGTCCATACTATAACGTCAGCATACACATGGCTTTATGCGTTTGATGTTATTCACGCAAGCATAGAAGGGCTTGGCTTGTGGGTCTTGAAGCCATAGTGAGAAACTTCTCAGGCGGCTGAAAGCTTTGCATGGGAATCCGGCGACGTATATATCAGCCTTCCAACCACAAATGAACACAAACAAGGTTGTTGAATTTACACTCATTAAATTTGGAGCAACTTCCTTTGTTGCGCCTGGCCAACAAACTTGTCAACCTCCCGGGTAAATACATCTGTGTGCAACCTGAACTCAAGAACAAAAGAAGTTACAGTAAAGAAGAATAGCAAAAAGTCGAGGCTTTGGCTCTGCATTTGGGAAATTCTTTTTGATGTACTCCTGGGGGCCTTTTGCAATGTCACAGGCAGACCTTAATTTGTGTAGCGACGCACATTAAAACTGCAGCCCTGAGGGGAACAAAGCATTTGCTGAGGTCTGGGCAAATGCTCAACAAAGTCTGTGCCAAGCATGAGGTGCAAAGCAACCATAGGAGCTTCAGCCCCAGAACCTGATAAGATATGACTTGGAACCTCCAAAAAACAGTTGTTTTATTCATTAAATAAGCCCCTAGCAGTCTGTGATCACCCGCAGTTGTCGTCCCATCGGCGTTAAGTGGTCTACGAGGCCTGATGCAAATGACATGAAAAGACATTGCAAGAGAAAGGTTGAAAAGCGGCGTTAAAAAAAAAAACTAAACACTCTGCTGGGAGTCCCACCAGTGGCATCAGTAAAGTCTGCGCCAAACTCCAAACATTTCTTTTGATGCAAGGTTAAATGAAGCCTTCCAGGAGCATGCCACCTGCACATAAGTTGGAACCCATGTACTTATCCTTTGAAGTTTGTTTGAGACACACATCTGATCTAGCCTCTCTGTCTCAACTGACGCATCGTCAGAACAACAATCAATGTCCCCTTGAGAATCATATCTCCAAATCGGCATGCCTCAATTGAGGCGAAAAGAAATCGTTCAAACTCCTGTAATTTGAACAATGTTTGATGTAGCTGAGACTACGACTGGTGACAACGGCGGGCTAACAAACAAGTTTGGTCCAAAATGGCACTATGCAATGACATATCAAATGCCCAACGCGACCCAACGATCCCATCACCAAGCCGACACCCAGTTGCTATTTGGAAGACACCCAGTTGTAAGTGGACTTTCCTACAAGTGTTGTGCCATCTACGGGGCTATTATCGTGCAGCGTTCTGTTACTGTTTCAAGTGCAAGTGCAAGGAAAGGGAAAGGTGAAGGGAAAGGCAAGGGAAGGATAGAGAAAGGCGAAGTGAATGAAGGAAAGGAAAGAAGAGAAAGGCATCCAAGGAGAGGGAAAGGAGACATTAAGGAATGGATAGCAAAGGAGAAAGGAAGAGAAGGAGAGAGAGAGAGAGAGATAGAATATGAAAGAAGGAGAGAAAGACAGTTCAAAGAGAAGAACATGAAAAACAGTTGGAATTTAACAGAGAGGTTGTCTACAAAAATCAACGACTTATATCAGTGTTCTTTGCAGAAGATGGCGCAAGTCTACTCTGTGAATGGGTGGAATGCCATCTATTATGCTTGAGGATGCATAGGTATATATCTTGTTTTCCACGGTTTGCCGCGTGCGCTTTTGGCACTTTCTGGTGCCATCGATTCGTTTCCGGATATAGCCATCTAGTCTGAACAAGGTGTATATATATCAGTGAAGTAATTATGCACCTATTTCTATATACCCATATAAGGCTTGGGGGACCCTATTCTGACGCATGATGACGCATGTGGGCGTGTATGCGTTAGACCGTTCCCTTTTTGTGGTAGCCTTTTGGCACAAGTAGCCCTCGTCAAACCCACACATGATATTATCACCAAGACATTCATAAGCAACTTGACGTTCCTGGTGAGTGCGTGTTCCTGCCATGTTGCCTGGATGACGGCTCACACGAAGCAGCCGCCCGGAAGATCCTGACCTGTTGGGGGTGGGTTTGGGAGGTTGTCTGAACCACCGGAAGGAAATTCCTCGACCTCAGTGCGAAGGCCGTGCAATGGCGGTGGCTGATCATTGATGAAATAAGCATGGTCAGCGCTGAGCTGCTGGCAAGAATGGATTTACGATGCCGAGAGCTAGTGCGCGATCTAGCGCAGAGCAAGTACGCCCCGGGCAGCGCACACGCGCAGCCCTTCGGAGGGTTGAACGTACTAGTGGCAGGTGATTTATGGCAATTGCCACCACCACGCGGAACCTTTTTGGGGGAAGTGCCTTGGGAAATGCTGACCAAGGGGAGCAGCAAAAAAGTCGCCCACACCGTGCATGGGCAAAAGCTTGTGTGGGGCTCGCAGACGGAGAACAGCATCATCCACGGCATCACAGAACTCGAGCAATGTGAGCGCACGCGAGACACATGGCTGCAGACGCTGCAGCAGCAGATTCGGGAAGGTGCCTTGAGCGCCGACAATCACGCCTTCCTCCATGGGCACGACACAGGTGTCCCGGGAAGTTGGTCTGGCGAAAAATTGGACTGCGAAAACGCAGCGTGCCAGCAACTGCTGCAGAGGAAAGTCGTCCCTGCTCGCATTCGCAGACTCGAGTGCAAGCAATGCCAGCACGAACGCGCCTCGAAAAAGCGAGTGTTGGAAGGAAACATGAGGGGTGATGAGCAAAGGAAGCTAGAGCAAGCAAAGGCTGTGTTTGCGACGAATGCGGTGAAGTACCACGTCAACAAGCTGCGGGCGCTAAACTGGGCACGCCAGCACGGGCAGGCGGTCAAATATGCCATTGCAAAAGACACAATTTCCAGCCGGGCGTTGCAAGAAAAACCGGACTTGGGCAAAGACAAGTTGACATGGCTGCAACGTCACGATCAGGACTGTGGCGGGCTGTACGGGGTTTTGCCCTTGTGCATCGGCATGCCGGTCACGGCAACCGATCACTTGGATCGCCGCAGAGGCATACTGAAGGGATGTCCGGGCACAGTTGTTGGATGGAGCTGGCATGAAGCAGCGGGCGCCGCAGCAGGGAGTACGACACAGATTTGGAATGAGCTCCCAAGTTGTGTCTTTGTCCGGTTCCAGACCAAGTCAGAGTGGCGAGTGCAGGGGCTGGCCACGGACAACGTGTTTCCGGTGACGCTCCAACGGCAAGCGTGGCATCTGGACAAAGGCCGAAAGCGGCCCATGCTGCGGGTGGTGCGACGGCAATTTCCGTTGGCACCCGGGTTTGCCACCACGGCGCACGCAGCGCAGGGCCAAACTTACGCAGAAGGGGCAGTCACGGACATGCAGATCGGCGAAGGCGGAGACCCGCTGACCGCATACATCGCTGTGACGCGAGTGAAAGATAGACACGGGTTACACATATACAGACCATTCGATGCTGCACCCTATCAGAAAGGACGCAGCGTAGGGAGAGCTTTGCTGTTGCAGGCCTGGCGCGGAGAGAGCATTGACTGGGCAACGTTGCGCATGCGGCACCGCGAGGAGGAAGTGTGTAGCGAGTGCCGCGAAAGCAAACCCAGAAGCGGGTACAGCGCCGGGCAATGGAAACGGGACGCGGACGCACGTGTGTGCAGAGAATGCGTGCGCAACTACGCGGCCAACAACACGCCCTGGCAATGCAACAGTTGCAAGGCATGGAAGCACGAAGACGCCTTTGCTAGAATGTACACGCGCCCCGCATGCACGTTCTACCGCGTGTGCCAGACGTGCGAGGCACAGAAGCGGTGCTACAAGTGCGGTACGGCCAAGCCGGAAAGTGCATTCGGGGCGGCCGCGTGGACAGGGCGCCATGCACACCGACGTGTCTGCAGGGACTGCGCCATGAAAGTGAAGGGTGCATGGCGCTGCGCCGTGTGCGCGGAACGTAAGGCGTGCAATGACTTCAGCGCCTGGTCCAGGCAGCGCACTGCGCCGCAAAACGGAACGCAGCGTTGCAACGCTTGCGTCCTCAGCGCGGCCCAGCGCGCAGCAGCGCAGCACGCAAACGACGGACGTGCGCGGTGCAGAGGACGGCCTGCCCGGGCGGATGCACCGGTCGACAGCTGCCACGGGCAGCGGTGGCCACGAAGTGTCGCTCATAGAGCCATACGGCGCCTGGCTGCGACGCGGACGAAAGTAGCCGAAGAAAAGAGACAGCAAGTCATAGGTCTTGTACGGGAAGAGATCGCTGACCATGTGCGACAGAAGCAAGCCGAGGATGAGGTGCTCTTTCCCCGGGCGCAGGAGCCGAACCGGAGCAAAGAAAGCCAGACGGCTCAAAGCAAGACGGAACCGGAGGCACAAAGGCTCTCCACAGACAGCATGCCGTCGCGCAAACGCCGCATGGAACCACGACAAGACAAGCGCGCACAGCCGACGCCCACCAAGACCCAGCCCCGCACTCAGACAATGCAAGTAGCACAGGCAGAGCCTGCAGCGAAGTGTGCAGAAGACGTGTCGGTGAGCAGCCAAGCCAGGACAGCGCCTCCGCCACAACGAAAGTCGCAGGCAAAGCCGCAACAAGCGACGCAAGCCACCCCGACCGTCGCGCAGACGACAAACGCACCGCCGGCAAAGTTGGCTGGACAGACGGCCGCCGCGGAAACGTTCCAATATGCGTGTCCGTTTTGTGAGGTGTCTGTGACCAGCACTGTGCGCACAGGCCAAGTAGATCACCGCCGTGTGTGCGGGAAGTTGTTTCGTGTCAAAGACGGACACGTTGCCGCCAAGAACTTAGTCTATGCGTGTCCATTTTGCAATGGAACTGTGGCGAGTAACGTGAGGACAGGGCGGGTAGATCACCGAACCGTGTGCGGCAACCGATTCCATGTGAAAGAAGGCACGGTTAGCACACAGACGCGGCAGCATGAGGTGCTCGCTCCCCGGGCGCAGGAGCCGAATCGGAGAAAAGAACGCCAGATGGCGCAAAGCAAGACGGAACCGGAGGCACAAAGGCTCTCCACAGACAGCCTGCCGTCGCGCAAACGCCACATGGAACCACAACAAGACAAGCAAGCACAGCCGACGCCCACCAAGACCCAGCCCTGCACACAGACAACGCAAGTAGCACAGGCAGAGCCTGCAGCGAAGCGTGCAAAACACGTGTCGGTGAGCAGCCAAGCCAGGACAGCGCCGCCGCCACTACGAAACTCGCATGCAAAGCCGCAACAAGAGACGCAAGCCACCCCGACAGCCGCGCAGACGACACTCGCACCGCCGGCAAAGTTGGCTGGACAGACGGCCGCCGAGGAAATCTTCCATTATGCGTGTCCTTTTTGTGAGGTGTCTGTCACCAGCACTGTGCGCACAGGCCAAGTAAATCACCGCCGTGTGTGCGGGAAGTTTTTTCGTGTCAAAGACGGACACGTTGCCGCGAAGAACTTAGTCTACGCGTGTCCATTTTGCAATGGAACTGTGGCAAGTAACGTGAGGACAGGGCAGATAGATCACCGAACCGTGTGCGGCAACCAGTTCTGTGTGAAAGAAGGCACGGTTAGCGCGCAGACGCGGCAGCATCCGCACACATGCCCAGCGTGCCAGACTGTGGTCTGGTCATCACAGTTGTTTGGGCGCGTTCGGTGCCAACACAACACGCCAGCGGGAAAACCATGCCCGAAAAACACGTGGCAAGTTCAAGAGCGCAAGCACGAAACAAAGAAATAGAGTATAGACCAATCATCCGGAAGCCACGCAACCACCGGGCAAACGGGAGCCGCGCCAGGCTGTGTTGCAGGACTAGGCCAAAGGTGCCGGGAAGGGTTTGACGGTGCCTGGAGGACCCCAAAGAAACGAGGTGCAGGCCGAGGTGGCAGGTTCCAGAGGTCAGTTCTAAGGCTGCAGTGTACGGTTCCAGAGGGTTTCGCGCTGGGGAGGGTTTGAACGCTGCGGAGGGCAGGCCTGCTGCCGAGAAGAGGGCAACGCTGCGGTGCAGGAGTAGGCCAAAGGCGCTGCCGAGGGTTTGAAGGCGCTGCAGAGGGTTTGAAGGCGCTGGGGAGGGTTTGAAGGCAGTCCAAAATGTCTAACGTCGCTTTTGGAAGCCCATAAGAAGAGAAGAGGCAAGCCTGCTGCCGAGAAGAGGGCAAGGCTGCGGTGCAGGAGTAGGCCCAAAGGTGCTGCGGAGGGTTTGAAGGCGCTGCGGAGGGTTTGAAGCCGCGGGGGAGGGTTTGAAGGCGGTGCAAAATGCCTAACGTCGCTTCTGGACGCCCATAAGAAGAGAAGAGGCAGGCCTGCGATGCAGGAGTCGGCCAAAGGCGCTGGGGCTGCAGTGCACGGGCTGCACGTTCCAGAGGCTCTCTCCCCAGGCTCCCGGCTGGCGCAGGCAAGGCTGCGATGCAGGAGTAGGCCAAAGGCGCTGGGAAGGGTTTGAAGCCGCGGGGGAGGGTTTGAAGGCGGCGCAAAATGCCTAACGTCGCTAAGCCCATAAGAAGAGAAGAGGCAGGTCTGCGATGCAGGAGTAGGCCAAAGGCGCTGGGGGGCTCCCGGCTGACGCAGGCAAGGCTGCGATGCAGGAGTAGGCCAAAGGCGCTGGGAAGGGTTTCAAGTCGCGGGGGAGGGTTTGAAGGCGGTGCAAAATGCGTAACGTCGCTTTTGGAAGCCCATAAGAAGAGAAGAGGCAGGCCTGCGATGCAAGAGTAGGCCAAAGGCGCTGGGGCTGCAGTGCACGGGCTGCACGTTCC